TTTTTCCTATGTACTCCTATGTAAAACTTTGATCGGCCAGTTTGACCCCACCCTACCCGCAGAGGATCATGATTTGAACGAACTAGAATTTACACTACCTGAGTATGATTCTATATTTTAAATATTACTAATTATGGATTTAAAGTACTTGAAATGAAGATTTTAAAGGTTTCCCTATATATTCCTATGCAAAACTTTGGTTGGACATTTTGGCCCCAGCCTACCCCCTGGAGTCATGATTTAAACAAACTTGAATCTGCACTACCTGAGGAATGATTCTAGTCGAGTTTCATCTTTCCTGGCGCAATGTTTCTTGAAAAGAAGATTTTTTTAAAATGCCATTAATTTTTCACTAATTCATAATAATCTTCCCTTGGTCCTTCATTTGTACGCATTTGAATCCCCTTCACCTAAGGATACTTTAAGTTTGGTTGAGATTGGCCTAGTGGTTCTTGAGAAGAAGATGAAAATGTGAAAAGTTTGCGACGACAACGACAACAACGACAGACGACGGACAAATTTTGATCAGAAAAAGCTGACTTGAGCCTTCGGCTCAGGTGAGCTAAAAATAATCATTTTATAATTCTTAAAATGGAGTTTTATCAAATTCTATAGGAAAATTTAACATTTCGGGGGAAAATGATAGGCCCCAACAAACTCATTTATTTCAAACCCACACTGACACAGGTAAACGATAAGAAGACTGGGAAGCGAGGTGCTAACTGCTTACAAAATTAATTATACCCACGATATCTTGGCGAGTACAAGTCATATGCATATGTTAATTTTTTTTTTTTACAAATTTAAGTGAAAGATAAGTCTAGTCAGTGGATCAATATAATAAAGAAACCAAATTTGTAAATTAAAATTTGATATTAACAGCAACATTTAACTTTTATAAATTTTCAAAGTTGAGAAAGGTCCTACAGCAGTAGCATATTCTCATCTTGTACGCTTCCACGTGCACTCTTTCATAACATTTTTCAATTCTTCTAGTGTCGAAGCAAGTTATCAATATCTGACATCATGAAACAAACATTAACTTTTGAACTCCCCTAATCAAAGTTTGTGCCACCTCAACTGTTGGAAAAATAATATCCATGCATAAATGTAGCAACCATGAAAATCAGTTAGAAACAGACGTGGTTGTCAGACCTTATTATAGCAGATAACTGATGTAAGAAATACGTCAGGTATTTTAAAACAATTTTTTTTTCTAAATTTTTACTAAATAAATACTTGCTTAATGAAATTTAAAGAGAATTGTTTCCGATCATGATAAGGGGCAAACGGCGGACGTCACCAGTTTGAGAAGGGATTTTTATTCCTCCATGTCACCTGATCCCTCCTCTGAAGTTTAAGGAGGCCTACAAGTGTATATTTGCTTTGCTCATTAGTTGTATTGCTTGAATAATGTTCGCTATTCCAATATACTTAATTTTAATATATTTCTTTTTCGCAAGGGGTTTTTGTTTCTCTCTGCCATCTGGAAATACATGTATTCGATACACAAGAGCATGCTCTACGTAGGAAGAATTTCTAAAATGAGGTAAATTATTGACAAACAAGTTGATTAAACAAGAATATCAGTATTTTCGTTTAAAGTCATCATTTTTAAATTCTAAGTTCTATGGTCGATTCAATGACCTTATCAGCAAAAACAATTTATCACTGAGTCATGACCAAATGCTGACTGACGTTTTTCATACTTATAAAATTGTTAGGCCGTTATTTACACACTTAATTATCGGCAGATTTTCCGTTATTTCCCAATAATGACAAGGAGCACACAGTGGGTGTGACCTGTTGGCAGGGGATGATCACTCCTTCATGGCACATGATCCCACCTCTGATGTATTAGAGGTCTGTGTTTGCTCTGCTCCTATTTTGTATTTTTAATGGACTTTGAGCTTGAAAAGTGTTCGTTATCTCCATATATTTAAAGTACAAACATCTGGTACTAAATTTGCTTCAGTTTTGAATTAAAATTCAGCCCGTTTAAAATTTAGATTCCCAGAATTAAAGGATTGTACTTCAGCAGCCCCAGACGACACACCTCAAAAATCCTGTGTGAGCATTTTATCTACCTGTACTTCTGAACCAGGTTTGTACTTAACGTTTATAAACATCAATAAGTTTTGAAAGTTTATATATTTTTATAACTAAAATTTTCTTTCCTTCAAAGATTAACTTTCTTTCTCTAAATTTAACTTCTATCAAAACTATGCATTATTTTTAAAGGTGTATCTTAGAGAACTACTGGATCAAGACCAGGCGTGAAAATATATGGATGAGCAGTATTAGATCAGTGATTAGATACAAAGATTTAACCGAGATCAGACATATAAAGAAAAGAGGAACACGACTGGATCAGTGATTAAAAAAAATTATTTCAGACCATGCGTGGAAAATATGGACATATTAGATCAGTGATTAAAAACAAAATTTTATCCTAGACTAGGCGTGAAAAGATATGAATGAGCACTATTGGATCAGAGATTAGATACAAAATTTTATCCTAGACCACAGGCGTGAAAAGATATGGATGAGCAGTACTAGATTGGTGATACAAAATGTCATCCTAGAAAAGGCGTGATGAAATGCAGATGTATGACATTACATCCAAATGCGTTTTCAATCCGTATCCTGTCTTCTGTCAACAGTTTGCTTGATTTTTATGTCGTTAAGACTTTAAAATTTATTTTTTTTTTATAATATTGGTTGTTCCTTCGTTTAATTATTTGGCTTTATTGTCAGCCTATATTTTGCGTAAATTTGTTATTCATACTTTTTCAAACGTTTTTTTCTGTATTCTTTCCTTTATTTTAGTTCAATTAAGTTGTATAATTTAATACATTTTTAAACTTTATTTTAAACATTTAAAACATACATATACATAAAATTAAAAATTAAACATACAGGAGCTGGAAGTATTGAATATTTCAAGAATAGCTAGGGCTGTTCAGAAAAATGTCGGACAATATCAATGATCAACACATAATAATATGTAAAAAAAAATTTACTTTGTTGGTGTGTTTTGTTTCATAATTAATCAAAGAAACTTATTATCCATTAATCTAAAATTAACATGTTTTGTTTCCAAGAAGCACATTTACAACATTGCAGCTTCAAAAACATGACGTAATGATTTTCTCCAAAATGCTATATACCTTGACATTTCACTCAAGTCTAGCTGGCTGGCGTCACACACACACTCTTTATAAAAACTGTATTTACCACTCGGCATTTAGTTGACTTATAACTGTTTTAGTGGCATTCATGTAGTAGGGTACAGTTTTTGTTTATAAAATGAAACAACAGTTCTAATTATGAACGTATAAATTGTCTTCGTTTTGTGTCGTTTTACAGAGTTATGACTACCCAAATATATACATATTAATCAATTGCATCCACTAAAGCAGTTTCAAATTTTGAGTAAATTCTCATGATAGATTGAAAATTTCATATTCAAACCATTCAAATTTATTTTTCTTAAAAAACGTCTACAAATTTATAAATGATATGACAGATAGAAGTCTTCGAACTTTTAGAAAAGCCTTTGTATATAATTGATATCTTAAGTCGTTGACAAATTTTGATTCACATACATGCATCTTTGAGTCTATCTTTTTATATACGTGGTTGCAGTTTAGCCATTTTTATACTCAGATATTCATTTACCTATTTAAAGTATCTGACAAAAAGGGCGTTAATTCTACGGATGTTCATTTCATCTATACATAGAGTTTTGTCACATGACGATGTTACAAACATGATGCCAATCTTCAATTTGGAACACTCGTAAATGCAGAATAAATCTTTAATTCAAAAAGATCACCAGAAGATTTTACCTTTCAGTATTGCACACAAATGAGAGAAATTTTAGCTACATTTTCAATTGTTCAAATTATTTTAAAATATACATTTTCCCGCAAATGTATAGCTACATTTAGACTCTAAGTTTCATCTGAAAACTCGATTACCATCTCTCTTTCAATAAATAGGAATTTATACGCAAATATTACCTCTAATAGATTCCCACAAGGCCATGGGCAAAGAGAATATTCTTTTTACATGGAGAAATATTTTCTTGCAATTTCACACATGTGATATTGATTGATATTTTGACAGAAGAAGAAACTGTAATTTTTAAAAAAAATAAAAATACATACAACAATGTTGAATTTCATTATCCAACGGGAAGTTTCAGGACTCAAATATTTTATTATGTACCAAACAGCTGTGCTAGCCCTAGCGGTGTCGCACTGTCAACATATTCCTTAAAATTCAATATAACAGGAAATTTATCAAAGACCTATATATGATTAACAAATGCTAAGTATTTAAGTTTAATGTTTTATTCGAGTTGGCAGGAATTGTCCACAGTGGTCTACACAACAGTGGGGCAGCCGGTGTAAAGACGAATAATGACCCCCATCGAATAATGACCGGGGGTCATTTTTCGACAGCGAAAAAAGACCCCCGGTCATTATTTGACGTAGAAAAATGACCCTTTTGCCCGTAGAAAAAGTGTCACTTCCCTAAAAATTTGCAGAACCCACCTGAAGAAAAATGACCCCCGTAGAAAAATGACCCCCTGTAGATTAAAGCTAAAATTTTTAGGGGGCAAAAAAAAATTGGATAAAGAAGCATATTGGCCAAGATGCTCACCTGAGCTTATTGGGAATAAACTGATGATATGTTGATCTCATAACATTATACAATTATAGCTATATTTTAAGGTAAATGCAATGATTCAGAATCTAAAGGAGTAAAAGATTTATCAAGCCTTAAGAGTTAGGTAAACATTGTTTTTTTGATGGTGGAAATCATCGAACTGACAGAAAAAATCAGAAGTATTATATATTATTATATCCTCCGCTTGAAAAGCGGGAGGGTATATAGTGATCGGGATGTCCGTCCTTCCGTCTGTTACGCTTTGAGGTATCCATCTCTTATCCGCAAATCCTCATATATAAAAAGATGTGTTTGTGAAACAGCTATGCCCCTGTATGGCAACATAGCGAAGATTAAACTTTTCTTAAATGCAATTTAAATATATTGTTACCCAAAGTAGGGTCTTCTCACAAGAAATACAACTGCAAAATAGGAAAGCCCTAGCACCACTTGTTCAAAAGTAATGGCTGAGGATAAGTTTTTGAAAAGTAGGTCAAACTCAATCGTAAGAAAATGTTTAATGTAACAAGGATTACATATGTGAAGTATGAATACCCTAGCCCTTACAGTTCAAAAGTTATGGCCAAGGTAAAAAAAAAACATAAGTACGGAAAACTCCAAGGTCAAGGTCAAAAGGTCATGGTTTTCAGTATCCAATGAAAGGTAATGCATAAAAACTACATATTTTAAGTATGAGAGTACTAGTATCTACCGTTTAAAAGTTATAGCCAAAGAAAAGTTTTTGCATTTTTGTGTAAAATGGGACAAACTCCAAGGTAAAGGTCAAAAGGTCAAATTTGGTGGTACCCAAAGTAAGGTCTTGTCACAAGGAATATACATATTAAATATGAAAGTCATAGCTCCAATAAATGAAAAGTTGTGGTAAAGGTTAAGGTTTTTGCGGACAAACAAACCGCCAGATAGACAGACGGACATACAGACGGACACGATAAAACTATATACCCCCGAATCTTCGATTACGGGGACATAAAAAGAAATGGTCTTCAATTAACTTTTCATATTAATATACATTATAGAGAAGAAGTTACAACAATGAAAATGTTTGTTCTGATTTTCATATTAATTTCTCTGAAAAATATACTCAGAACTGAGTAAAAGGGTGGAGTAAAACAAGAATTAAGGTAGAAACTATGTCGGAAAAGTCTTTGTCACTAGATTTTCAAACTTTTCAAAATGATAAATTAGTACTTGCTTATCAATCAGTTAAGATATCATGATATGTTTCCTTGTTCTTTTAATCTAGAACAGGCTGTGAAACTTGGTATGGTATTTACATACTGCGACTTAACATTTTCAAATATTTTTAGGGGTACTTGTCATAAAGGGAATATGAAAAATCACAAAAATACTTCTTCAAACAACCTTGGAGATTTATGTCCTTATGAAAAAAACGTTGACCCTAACATATTCTTCCAAAGATAATACTAGTAGAAGCAAAAAATCATTGATGTTAGCCATCAATTGTCGCCCTGTATATAAAAGATTTAAGGATGTATTCTTCTGATACCCGGAAAAAACCGTGCATTAAACTTTCCACATGCTTATATTTTTCTGGAAGTGTAATATCCAAGCAATAATTTAAAGACAAGAAAAGTGTATATTAGTGTTCATCTAAGAGAGATTCAACCCCTCCAACATTGGCCAAAATAGAGCATGGGAAAATTCATTAAAATAGCTATTATATCATAGAAATACCTCATTAACTTATAAATACAATCAATTTAAACCTAATTTGGCTTAGATTTATTTGAATGTATTGCAAAAATATTTTTTTAGCAAAATATGAGCATGGTTTTCTCCATCCAATTTTAGTGGATCTAAAAACATGCTCTCTTCTAAAGTTCTTCATTTGTGATTCTTGTGACAACAAGACTAATCTGAAAAAAATATTTTAGAAAAAAAAAGATTATAATTACTGGTAATTTCATTGTTCAAAAAATGTAAAATCATTATTTTGTCTATCTGACTTTGTTTTTATGAACCCAAGCCCGTAGTTAAGTATCAATTAATTTCTATATGTTCTATGATGTTTCAGAAATATTCTATTTTCTAACCCGCATAGTCCGCCATAGAATGAAGCGACCTAGTTTCTTATCGAATGTAAACGCTAAAAATTAGAGATGTTATCTTATTATTTTTGTACGGTATGTCTATAAATTTGGGATATATATTCTGCATTTACAATATCAAATGAAATTTATCATATTCTAAGGGCTAAAGTTGCAATAAAAAGGATAATACGAATGCTGTCGTCTGCATGAATCTGAAGACCCCCTTGGCCTAACGTTCCGTATATATGTAACATGTTTATGCTATGTTTCAGTTTGCGTTGTGACAGTTATACATGTAATAGGTATTTTTAAACTTTTGAATCTATAATGCAAAAACATTGCTATTTTAAATAAGTTTGAAAGCATTGGTAACCAACATTTTCGCCTTTCCACTGCTACTGGAACGTCGTCAACACACTTCGGTGCTCTTGGCTGGCATGTTTGGGGCGCCGCTTTTGAGAATGTACATGGCCTGATTGTGTATTGGCGATTTTTAAAAATGTTTTAAAATTTCTGTCGGTTGGCTCTTTTAAGCGAGTGCCATTCGGCATTCCTGTCGCTTTGAAACAGGCGATCCCGTCTTCTTCCCCTCTCGATCATGCCGATTTCACTTGTCGACTTTCTTTGGCCTATGTCGTAAATATAGTAATTTTGCACACGTCTTGGACATCAATACAACTTAGCAAGATTTTTAAATTTAAAAATAGTTAAACATGTAAATCATAAAAACTTTAAAAACTTGTTTCTAAATTGTTATTAGTTTGAATTTTACGACATGTGTACGTACGAAGACCCACTTGGGGTAAAAATGATCAGAAGAATTCATCCTTAATATGATATCATGCTTTAGATGTGCATAAACTTTTATCTTTAGATTTAGTCTTGAGGCAACAACAGACATTAGTCTTGATCATGCATCGAACCGCTTCGACCTGTCTGATAAAGATATGAGTCCATGGAGTCCGAAAGATCGAAACTCTAGTTATGAAGATTTACGAAATGCTTCCAATCGGATAAAAATCAAACAAACACGATATCGTTTTAACCCCTTAAAGACCAAGTGCGCCTTTTGACGCATTTACAGCAACACAGTGATTTAACTGTTGGCGTTTTGTAAATAATTGGGATACAACAAAACAATTGATATTTTCTAAAACAAGAGAAGAAACACAACAATTTTTCTATTTTGGTTTTTTCTCTGCGATGTTAAGAAATTATCGTAAACTTGAATTGAACATTGAATATAATTGCGGGAAGTTAGTAAAATTACGCATAAATGAGTGATTTTGTGCTATCTTCTGTAGGCTGTAACTCAATTACAGCACACGATTAAAAAAAATGAAT